CATCACATTCGGTGGGTCAGGTTTTTCATACAATAGATGATCGAGATTGCAAGAAGATTGTTTCTTTTAGTTCTATTTCCACGACACACCAATAAAAAAGCACGTGACAACACCATAGATTTGATCCATACATTCCGCGATTATCTGCATTACCACATCAAGTGCTCAAAGGTACATTCCTTCTTATGTTGTTCATATTCGGTTTATCATCACCATTCGTCAGAGTTCAATTGGGGGTTTCCCAACTTGGACTTTTCGACTGTTCTACCTCTCTGTCAGTAACCACTCTGACGGTATATATCCCTTTTTTATGTGCCCGATAGACAGAACAAGATTTTTGCAAAAAAAAAAAAAAGTTTTCACATTACTTCCCTAGCACTCATAACTTTTTTCTCGAACTTCTTAGTACCATTGCTGTTCGAATGCGAATTTTGGAAGTTGTTCTCCAATCAAATGCCAATTACAGGTGTACATGCATTCGCGAATGCGGTCAAAGACGAATGATTTTCTCAAGGTGCTCAATCGTGCCCGTCCAGAAGTTAAGCTCGAAAAGAAGACGTTCAGGTAGGGACGCAGACGGTATTATTTCTGGCGCGAGCCGTAATTGCTGCGACTTAGCAAACATTTGACGTAGAAACGCACGGCGACCCATATTAATCTCGCTGTTTCTGGCAACTAACCAGACTTGTGCCTCACCAGAAAGTTGGATGAGGAGAGACGGGCATGTGCTTGCATCGCTGCAGTCCAGTGATTCTCCTCCGTAAAATCAAAGCAGTTCCATTCACTTTGTTTGACTCACTCAACTCATTTATCTGTTTCTAATATGTGAACAAGTATGCTTTTTCTATGCCTATGCTGTTTTCAGTGGACGCTCCTATGTACCAAGCTAGACGGACCCAATCAAATCCCAACCAACGGATATCCACTGCTTTATAGAAAGTCATCTTCACTTAATATCCAGCCGTATGCCGAAGTGATCTGTAATGTCGATGCTGATAATAAATGTATTTACTTAAAAATGCACGCAATATGTACAGAAATACAACAACAACGTATGGATTGTACATGTGATGCGCTAAGATCAAATAAGAAGAAACGCTTGCTTGAACAAGAAAGCCATTTTTAAACCGTTTGCAACAAAAGATCAATAAGTAGACCCACAAAGTGACAATTTTGTATGCACAAAGTGAAAGTTAAGAGGCATTGGCCCTTTCTTGGCAACACACTGCACCATGGGACGGTGCATCGGAAAAGGATTTTGAAGTGCAAAAATCCGACGAAATCAGTGGGCAGTGGTAGGATTAGTTGGCTGCTACTTCGCTCCTAACAACACACGGGTACCAATAATTGCGCCCACTCCGACTAAAGCGGCAGCGCCAATACCAATCAGACTCCATCGACGGGTCACTCGCTGTCGCTCAGCTGCTTCACGTTGTATAGCATCGCGGCGGACTATATCAGCTCCGATCGTCATGAAGTTCTTCTAAAGATAATTTGTGGTGAGATCTCCATGAAACTATTAATGAATGAAATAGGAAACTTGACACTTAAAAAATTATTAAAATGGGAAAAACTTGGGAGTAGTCGTGTTTATAAGGTTAGTAAAGCCGAAATGATCACTTTGCTACTATACCGTTATACAGTGCTATTACAACACGTAGAGATGTATGCATGAACGCTCAGGTAGGGCAGAGCTTAAGCTGAATTAGTATGGTGACCGCGCTTGTGTGTAATAGCTGCAAGATAGAGGATGCCGCAGCGAGGACATTCGGCATCGGAACACGAACGCGTGGTGGGGTAGCATATTCGTAGTGGTTTTCGTTCGCAACGTTAGGCCACATTTAATGGCAGATCGTCTACAAACATATTCAGGTAAATCGCTGGATTGGAAACGTCGTCATCATCACACCCCAATGCCATTCCCCACTTTCTCACACAAATTAAGACGCCGGCCGCGAGCGAGCGCGGGCGCGGCGGCCGCCCGGCCCCCGCGGGGCGCGCCCGTGCGCGCTCGAGTCGCATGTGCACGCTGAACTGTGCGGGTAAATTCTGACGCTCCACCACCACAGTCGCCGCACTGTTGAACTCGCCCGCGCCGCAAAATTTCAGTGAAGAAGTCGGGCGAGACCAATGCGGGACCTTTAAACATAATCTTAATCAACAAAAAAAGCAAATGTGAAGTCTCAATGCTCGAACTCAATCCTATCTACTAAATCTATCAAATTCCATCCTATCACTACCGTGTCTTCTAATTATCCCGCTTCATCGCAACCGCTTCCAAACACCCCGTTGGAGGATTCCCTACCTCACGTCACTTTTACATACAACTATATCAGTTCATTCAATGCAATTGGTCATGGTAGACCACTTCTCTTTCTCCTACGGTTTCCACTCGCAATAATGGAGTCAAATGAGGAAACCCTCAACAATTCGCTTTCTAGTTCATCGATTCACCTTCCACTAGTTCTCCAGTATAAGTTTCGCCGAGTTCACATCTATCACACAAGTACACCAGAACTGTTGCGCAGTGTAAAAGACAGAAATGCGTGCACTCTACGAAAGAGTTGATGAAAATCAATAAGTGAACGCACAGCGTCACAACCTTTCCTTATTCCTCAGAATAAGCCTTCTTCACATTTAAAGACTGTTGAACTGTGTATGGCTTTCAGTATTCAAAGTACGCACGATATGTTAATGAGAAAAGCATTATCAAAGATAAAATATCTAAACATGCAAGACCATCATGAAAAAAGGAACCAGGGGATAATCGTTTACTATTCCTAGACCCATATGTCTTGATTTCATCAGAAAAAGTCGTGCCAGACAGGTTGTACTGAGCGTGTTTGTTTGTGACCAGTTTTTGTTCTTTGGTGTCTAGGGTGGACAAAAATCAACTAAAATTTCACAACCAAGGACTCGCAAACTGTTAGAATTTCATAACCACAAAATAGTACAAGACTTCAGACACGTACAGAGTACAAGCTCACTTACCCAACTCCTCTCATCTTCAACCCATGTCAATCGTATCCGCTTATCGATGAACTTCGCTGTATAAGTCGCCAACTGCCGTACTTCTCGTCGAAAGTTTCGTGCATACATTCTTGCGGCTACTAATCCACCAAAGGATATCAATCCAACCTAAAATATCTCATAAGAGTTCTAAAAAGAAATTAGTGGTTAGAATCAAGTACGAAGTACTCACTAGCCGTCCGTACGACATTCCGTTTTCCATTTCATCTGCAGTTCGACCGAATTCGTCAACAATCTACGAAAACTTCGTATTATGAGAAAGGCCAATCACGAAAAAAAAAACCGCAAATATTGTGATGTGCAATGTACAGGAATTTCAAAAATAAAGAAATACATAAATCTTTAAGGCTCAAGAAGAAATTACGCTGCGAAATTCGTTGTTTTTCTAGAATTTCTTCACCCGCACATGGTTACATGGATATACCTAGCTACTAAAAAACTCACATCGCAATAACGGCTGAACGTCAGGTCTTCATTTTCAAGCAAGTCATCTGCAAATTCATTCAATTCGGTGCGATGCCGCCGTTCGAAAATATGAGCAACTTGCCTGAAAATAGACAAACAATAAAGATTAAGAAACTTATATAACCACTTAAGCCATGTTCACACTGCAGACTTATAGAATAGCTGCAATTGATAGAAAGGTTCAACTGAACACGCCCTGTCTCTTGCAATTGCTAGCATAAACTTATTCAGGTGAAGAGCAGTGGATACTATCGTGGTAAGATTAAAAATTCTACTAATAATTCCCAACCACTGTACTTCCACATGTACCTCCTTCATCGCTGCGCGGATAGTTCCATGTCTCTTGTAGCTATGCAGATTAGCTAGTTAGTTTGGTTAGCTATCGATTCGATCCTAATTCTA